TTAGGTTGGAGGCCATCGCAATTAGGTTGGATTCCATTTCTACTACGCTGGAGGCCATCGCTATTAGGTTCGAGGCCATAGCAATCAGGTTGGAGGCCATCGCAATTAGGTTGGATTCCATTTCTACTACGCTGGAGGCCATCGCTATTGGGTTCGAGGCCATCGCAGTCAGGTTGGGGGCCATCGCTGTTAGGTTGGAGGCCATTGCAACTAGATTTCTACTACGCTGGAGGCCATCGCCATTAGATTCGAGGCCATCGCAATTAGGTTGGAGGCCATCGCTGTCAGGTTGGAGGCCATCGCAATTAGGTTGGATTCCATTTCTACTACGCTGGAGGCCATCGCTATTAGGTTCGAGGCCATCGCACTCAGGTTGGAGGCCATCGCTGTTAGGTTGGAGTAGTTGGGTCCCAAATTTACAAATCAGTGACAATCAGTGCACCGCCTCCGGCGTCTCGCGGCTCTGAGACCCCACACACTGCACGCCCGCAGTTGTCCGCAGTCTCAGGCCATGCCAGTGAGATGGACCATGGGCTACCGGAGACCTGCAAACAAACAATTAGCTCTCATGAGAACTCATGGCTATTCTATTCCTTTTTCCTTTTCTCAGTCTCCTCTTTCGTGTTTCCTCTCAGCTCCACATGCTCTACAACCCACATCCGACCGGTCGCGTCCTTGTAGGGCGCCGCCACCAACGTGCGCGGCGTGCAGCGCATCTCGGCCGCGAAGACGGCCGTGCGCTCGCCGGCGCCCACGTCGTTCACGGCCACGGCGTAGAAGCGGTAGGTGCGGCCGTTGGTCAAGGAGCTGATGCTGGCGCTGCGGGAGGTTCCCACCTGGGAAACACCGGAAACTCGCGTTTCAAGGCGTGAGTTTAGATGTAGATGCGTGGCATAATGCGTGGTGAAGGCGATGTAGATGCGTGCACAGCAAATCACCAGCATCGAGTTTTCGCATCCAACGCTAAGGGTGGCCAGCAGTGACCAGTGGGTGTTTGCTGAAAATTCGCGTTCCTCTGGATTGCTACGAGGGTCATTTAAGTAGATGAAACGTTTCTGATTGTTCCGTGAAAAGATATGAAAAGGATGTTAGTAGTTGCCTTTGTGATTAGAAACAAGAAGCTAGTAGTAACACTTTTTGACTTGGAAACCTCTTGACGAAATTGGCGAACTGCAGATTTGTTGCTCGTCGTCTTTTTGGGGGTTCTGTGGACACACGGCCGCACTGCCACACCGGACGGCTGTTGTCCGGGATGGTGCGGATCCCTGTGCATCTTTTTGGGGAGCACGGCTGGACATTGCTTATGGCTCCTGGGTGAATTGGGCCCGGACTGCACTGGGGTTTGTGTGTTGTACAGGAACAGAAGTCATACTTTCAACCCACAAATCATGGAATAGTAGACTGGCCAGTTCAGCCTATGTCTGAGGTGTTTCAGATCAAATGGAAAGCAAGAAAACTGTAAAGACAAACCAACCCACGCATCATAAACCAACCCATCCCAGGGCCTGTCGTAAGTTCCGACCACCGTCTAGACGCGCGACAAGTCTTTGCTCAGCTTACACTGAGCTCCTTGCATAAGTCAAAGTGTAGATGCCCGATGCATCACCTGCCTCAAGCATCCCAAGCTATGGAACGCCACGTTCAACATACACTTCTTGTCTGGAGTCCATGTGGCTTCCAAGTTGGACAAGTGCCACAGTTGCTCTGAGAAGTCTACATCACGGTAAAGCTGGTAGGACTTCACCTCTGCTCCACCATTCAGCGTCGGTTCCTCTCAGGTCAAATCATTGTGAAAAGCGATCGTCAGAAGCGGTTTTGCTCAGACCAGACCTGGCCAAGGCCAAAGAAACCTTTGGCAAAGCCGAGGCACATCCCATGTCAATGTCATTGAGCTAGGGGTTCGCTGATCCACCATATCCAAAGGCCTTGAGAACCAGAATCTGGTCGACAATTCATTCAGGCACAGCCTTTCAAATGCAAGACCTTAAAGACACCCTAGTAGCGATGGCCTCCAACCTACTAGCGATGGCCTCTAACCTACTTCCAAATCCAAGACCTTCAAGAAGCCTTCTAAGAACTGTTTGTTTCTCTATGTGTCTTTGTCCGCGCGAAAGCTGCAGTGAAGTAGGGCTCCGTTTCGACAGCAACACTAAACGTATATGCTGCAAGGTGAAACTATCTCTTATTGTTGATGCATTAACAATTTCAAATGTCACTACTATTCTACTATTGCCTTCAGCAGTTATATTTCCACTACCACTACTATCTCACTTAGTGGTTCGGAAACTCCCGGGGAATATGGATCTTCTCCAGCTCCTTCAGCGATCTTAAGATCTGCGATGCCTTGCCTCTCGATTTGTGTGTCATTTTCTTCAGGGGGGGCCCAAGTGTTCTCCGCACCAATGATGAACCCAAACGATGGCCTCCACCCTAATAGGGATGTTCACAGTCTTGGTGGATTCTGCGGCCTTTGATCCAAAGGCCCTGACGTTGATGGGGAGCTCATCTTCAGCCGCAAATCCACTGGTGCCTTGCATCACAAAATCAACTCTTTGTAGTCCAAAGTCGCAGCAACGCATCAACTCTGTGAACTCTTGGATAATCCTCAGTTATGAGGATCGCTAGGTTGGAGGCTGGTCACAGTTCACAGAAGGCTTCACAGTCCCTTGCTTCGACACGTCAGGGCTTCTGGGCGCTGAAACGGAGGGCTCGGCGCCACAGACTCGAGAGACCGATGGGCTCGGGCCACCCCAACCTGGGACGAACGGAGCTGGGCATCGCGACTCGAACGGAGCGATCGGACGCGATTAGAAGAAAGCTCAGGTGTCACAGCATGTCACAACTTTAGATTTTTCCTCCAGGTTTGGAGATTTGGTGTGACACGACACAGGGGCTTCGCTGATGTTCTGTTGAGCCAAACACGTGACTGAAACAAGTCAACCCCAAAGCTCTGCGTGCTCGGACCCACAATGTTTCTCGCAGATACAGTGATGAGGTGATGCCTCAGGAAGCCAAGGACGCCCCTTACCGAAGACGAGACTCTGAAGAGTTGTGTCTGGCGATCTCGCGCGACTCGAAAGAAAAGACTTGATGTGTTTCACCTCCATCCGACTCTCGGGATGTGATGTGTTTGTTTCATTGTTCTTTCGACACAGATGTGATGTGTTGCATTGGTTTAAGAACTCGACCGGCCAGTAGAGCAAATAATTTGGACCTCAGCAAATCATCTCGACTGCAGTTCTTACGAAGCCTTCAAACGGACACCAGACACCCCATGGGATGCCGGCCGATGTCAGAGCGGAGACACTGGTGCCATCATATCGATCGCACTGGCCATCAAAGGTCACCTTGTAACCCAGCCTGAGCTCCAACGTCGCGTCGCGTCGGTAAGGACCTTAAGGCCGAATCGGAGACCCAAAAAGAGACCTTAACGAACACTCGAAGGCAAAGTGTTCCAAAAAGCCATCTTCTAAACCCACAAGCAGACACCTTGTATGTGCCCGCTAAGTAGGTTGGAGGCCATGGCTAAGTAGGTTGGAGGCCGCTCTTAGGTTAGTTAGTTCTTCTTGTAATGGCGCTAGGCCCAATGATCGGCGTCACTGCCGTGCAGATGAGCGGCGTCAGTGATCCTCCATTGTCCGAGGGCTCGTTCCAGGTCACTTGGACGCGGTCCTGCAGGTCACTTGGACGTTCATTCTTAGTCAAATATATATTCCTTTTAGCCCGTGGCCCTGGCTCCTTACTTAATTGAGTGGACGCCTACTTAATTGTATAAAATAACAAAAGGAGTAAGCTCCTATTGGACGCAGGATAGCTCAAGCGTGCACTAATGGACTAATGGTTTGGTTCCTGTTTAGGGAAGATTCACATGTTGTGCCAAATTCCTCCTCAAAAGAAACAGACGCTACTTGAGTAGCTCAGGCTCGGCCGTTCGCCCCACCGCGACCGGTCCATGTATCCAGGAACGGTCTCCACCTGAGGGAACGGTCAAACTCATGGCCCCGGCCATGGCCGGCTTTTCGACCACTCCCTACGAGAACGGGTGGATTCTGTAGAATTCGACATGTGTTTCCGAGAATTGGGTTGAAAACTGTGTTTCTCCTCACTCTCACCGAGATTCGGACCAAAGGTGTTTGGGGATTCCCAGGTACTGCTGCTACCACCTGGCAACACGGGTGACATCGATGCTGACATATACAATGCTGTTTAAAACCCTGATCCCGCCATGTGCGATGACGGCCATCCCCTTTTGCAGTAGGCTTTGTTTTGCAGTTTCTTGACCTGATAGTCCTGGTCCACGCTCATCTCCATTCGACTAGGAATGCAACCAAAACACCTTGTAACATCCCTTCTTTCACTTACACTATCATAAGAAAAGTCTAGCAGTAAGGGCGCATCTGTTTCAAGTGGTGCCTGCTGGAAGACGGACGTGTAAGGTCCAGTGCCGACCACCGTCTCTGCAGCCACCCGAAATCGATAGGGTCGCCCCTTGGTCAAATACCTGAGTCGCAAAGCAAACGAAGCAACCAACGAAGCAACCGAAGGTGGGAACCGAGACGAAAAGACGAAAAGCGGTAGCGGTGAACAGGCACTGACTGTTAACATTGTTACTACTAGTAAGGCACTTGTTACTAGTAGCGTGGCACTTGTTTCTAATAGCTTCTTGTTACTACTAGTAAGGTTGGATGAGTGTTTTGTTCACAATATGGAGGATTTGCTGGTTAAAACAACGTCTGTGAGGATTAGACATAGACTGAGGGTCCAGACTCCACTGTGGTGTAAGTGCCAGCAACCACCGCAACATCTTGAAAGGCACCACCAAGGCCATCATCTGCTTGGACTCGATAAAAATCCACCAAGGCCTGAGTGGCTCACCAATTGAAAATCACATGGAAAATGGATCAGCAGGACACAACGCCTCTTTGGGCTTTGAGGCAGTGTCCCCGCCAGAGTCTGCCGGAGGTTGCCACATGAGTGTGATAGAAGTCCTGGCGAGAAGGTGGAAAGACTTGTACAATAAAGCTACTAGGGGCTCCTGGCATCGCTACTAGTAGCAAAGGGCATCGCTACGAACGGAACATTCTTACTACGAACGTAACAAGACGCTACGGGAGCGTTCAGCGGCGCTTTTGATCCTACGGGAGCGCTTCAACTTCGGTGTTCCACGCGCCGCCAGGTGACAAGTTCGAATCTTGGACCAAATACGACGGTTGGAGGCCATTCCTATTAGGGTGGAGGCCATCGCTATTAGGAGCAAGGACGCTACGTTCAGGGCTCCTGGCCTTACTACTAGGAACAAGAAGCTACCAACGGGGCTGCTGGCATCGCTACGAACGGAGCGATCGGACGCTACAGTACGGAAGAAGGCCATCGCTAGTAGGTTGGTTTCAATGGGACCGATCACCACCCCCCCCGGCACCTCGTGGACGCCACATATCCCAAATTCCGCGTCATGCCGGGCAGAGAGGCCGCGAAGGCAGTGACCTTGGCGGCCAAGGACGGTCCAAACGGTGCTTCATCGGAGCCCCACCCGAACCTAAAGCCTTTCATCCGTGGGCTGAAGTTCATCTGATCTACAAGGCCTGAAAAAGATGGCGAAACGATGTCGTAGTAAAGGCAAAGAATGAAAAACAACAAGGTCGCATGGATGAACGAAAAGAAACAAGAAAATGCGTATAGAACATTATAGATTATAAAACATTAACAAGAGGGAATTTAGGACAAAGCCTAGGAGCAAGGAAGCGACTAGGAGCAAAGGGCATCGCTACTAGGAGCAAGGGCATCGCTACTAGGGGCTCCTGGCATCGCTAC